TAAGGACTGACAGTGCTGTGCATGGGGCATGTGCCTTGAATGAATATTTTTCTGTCTTTCTTTCTTGATTACATCTTTAAACTTTTTTATGTGCTGCAGTAACAATACAATTCATCTCTAGTTTTAGTTTAGCTGGAATGGCTTGGTATGATGGTTTCCATTCAAAAAACAAGTGAATGTTTTTCTGATTTTACTTTTGTTCTGGTAAAACATTGAATACTTTCACCTCTTTAGGTCTCTAAAAATCCCTCAAATGAAACAATCCAAGAGGAACAATCCACTTTCTGTTTGAACTGTTCACACACAAGATGTAATCTGTGCAGCAGTTACTTAATTTTAGGAGGTCACAAGACATTAAGGGTTGGAAACCACTGGTGTATCAGCTGCTTAGTGACTTGAAAGAAAAAGAGTCGCTATATAGCAGTGTTTTTAAAGGTTTTGTGTTGTCTATGACACTAGCTGAACTGTACCCATGCAGTAACCAGTCTCTACGGCAGTAATTAGTCCAAAGAAATGTGAAGGTTTAAATCCTCTTAATTTTTTACCCATTTATTTTCTGTAACCGTTTTTCCTGTTAGGGGTCGCGGGGGGGCTGGAGCCTATCCCAGCTGACACTGGGAGAGAGGCGGGGTACACCCTGGACAGATTCACACCTATGGGCAATTTAGAGTCACCAGTTAACCTGCATGCCTTTGGACTGTGGGAGGAAGCTGGAGTACCTGGAGGAAACCCACGCTGACACAGGGAGAACATGCAAACTCTGCACAGACGGGCTCCCCCACCCCGGGGAAACCCTTGGGCTGTGGGCGACAATGCTAACCACTGCATTACCATGCCGCCCAAAGTTTAAACTTAAGTTACTTAGTTTAAAAATGAGGTTTAGCTGAAAAAAACCCTTTTCCAATGTAAAGCTTATACTAAAAATACATCAGAAGGGTACGGACATTTTGAAGAAATTGTAACTTATTATGTGACTTTTTTTTAACATGTTTAATAAAAACCAGAAAATGAGGAAACAAACTGAACATTTACTTCACATAATTTATTTGTATTACAATAAAAATGCATAGAACAGTATATACAAAAACAGCAAAATATAACTTTATTGAAATAATCAAGTCAAGTTCAAGATATTAAAAAAAAAGCGATCACGTGGTTGAAAGATAATCTTACACGTACAGTACTTACAAACATCAGGCACAGATTTGGTAATCATCTCTGACTAGTGCAGGTGTTGTTTAACACAGTAATGACAGGTTTCTGACAGTACAGGTACTCGTAAATATGAGTTAATGGCTTGTGAGAGCAAAGATTTATCAGACGTTTTCTCTCTGGGGAACACAAGACGGATATTTGATCCAGATCCTGATTGATTAAATGCCCAAACACTAACGCATTCATCACGCTCTTGTTAGATTCTACTGGATATTTTGCCCGTGGCTGGAAATATTGTTCCCTGTCACATTCCCCTCTGCATCACAATCATGGAGCAGGAGCCACAGTTGCATTTCACTGCATATTGATGGTAATGTAACCTTTGTATACACCCACTAACTTACTGATCTGCCTTAAAAAAACAACACCAACATCTACAGAAGCTCAGAAAATGACACATCCTGGATACTGCGACCAGAGAAACACTGACTGTCCAAACACACAGCGAAGTTGTGCGTGTCAAAGAAACAGGAAACAGAAAACTGTGACGCAAAATTACAAAATAAAGCTCAATGACAGATGAAGGTCTTATATATATATTCCGACGTACAAGATGAGAGGACAGAAACAGTAAAACATACAGAGTTGCTCATCAGTGTGGACAACTAGACAATACCTCTACAGCCAATCATCAAACAGAAAAATAACAACTCTAAAAACGAGTGATGATGACTTTTTAAAGCATGTAAACATTTCAAGTAGCCACAAACTGCGTGCAACAAGAACAGAATGTAACCTATTATTATTGGTATGTGAGTAGGTGATGCTTCAGCTTAAATATTTCGAGGGTAGAAATAACCTCCATTCAGTTCTTGACTCCTGTTTTAGTGTTTGTTTAATCCGTTAGATGGCTTTGAGCACATGAGGGTAGATAAAATAGTGTCCAGTAAGTCGGTCATCCAAGAGAAAAAAAATACAAATTCAACCTCTTAAAATCTTACAGTGATTGTCTTATCTTGATTTGTTTTTCTTATGTGGAAAACCCCGACTATCTGACACCAACGAAGGCTAAAAGTCACCAAAACAAGTCACATTACAGTGACACAAACAGTAAAACGGAGAAATAATTTGCTGTAAGTGACAATTTGGACCATCTGACAACTGAGATCATGAACAGGTGGTTAAAAAAGAACAAATAGATTAGGTCTTGGACTACAGTTTTGGGTCTTGGAGTGATTGTTGTGTGTTCAAGCTGAGGATTCCCATCCTGACCAGCAGGAGGAGCTCTAACAGAGGCGTAGGAACTCTCAGATCGAAGTGTTAAGGACCAGGTTCAAGATCAGACTGACACTTCCTGTCAGGTCCGCTGACATTCAGAGCATGAATACTGAAGAAAATCCACTTGTTGAGCTAAAATAAATTAAAGTGGACCGACCCTAAACCTGGGTGAAAATACATTCATCCAACACACTTCTGTGACCTTTTCTAACGGGGTCTGCGAGAGAACTGAAGAGCATCTGAGATATGTAAAGGTCCATCTGAAACTCTCACCGTGTGTCTGACTGTGACTCACATACAGCAAACATTCGGAAAAAAGGGGCAAAGTAAATATGTGCAGCACTTCTCTCATATAGCGGGTAAAAGAGTAAAGCCATACAGTAGTGAGCAAGCAGTAACTTTAAATAAAATGACAATTCAAAATGAGTTACCTGCGATTTTGAGCCTTCACCAACAAAACGAGTCCCAGAACGAAGGTAAAATAAAGACAACAGGAAGTAATTTCCACCGTTAATGGATATGTAAAATGATCAGTGAACATTGCAGGGACAATTTATCAAGTAATAAAAGCTTAGGTAGCTCAGACGTGAAGCCCCACCTGTGTTTTAAAGCATCTAACTCACTGATGCCACAGTAAAGCAACATCTAACAACACTCAGCACAGCAGCAGCAGACACTCAGGAGGCAAGTTAAAGCGAGAGGCTCTACGCTGGCAGCTCAAAGTAACTATATCTCTGAAAATGCACTTAGGCTTCATGTGAGCAGTTTGTCTTTTTGTGTAAAGTGAGAACCTGAAGCGGAATTAGACAGCATTTTGATTTCTCCACCCATGTCAAAACCAAGCCCAGACCTGCTGAGCTGCACAGAGCTCCACTCACATTCCTGTTTCCTGAAAGTGTGGATTCACTCCAACGAACATCCCCGTATTGAAGCTCTGTGGAAGAGTTTAAGTGTTGTTGTAACATGATTTACCCACTCCAGTTTAGAAAGAAAAAAAAAAAGACAGCACAAATGATGGAAACAGAGAAATGATCATTAATAAAACGAAGAGTTTGGATTTTAAAGAAACTGAATGCTGAATTTAGAACAGAAAACGTTCTTTATGAGGAGAAAATGGTTAAGTTTGAGTTGGAGCGAGTCACAAGTAAATACTTTAGGGAGTGTGGATGGGAATAGCAGCACAAACTAAGCCTCCAGCAACAGTTACTGGGAAGTGTTCACCAGGAAGCTCTTTTAAAGCTACAACTGTTGCATGGGAACCACTGGCTGTTACTAAGAAGTCAAGTCTCTGGGCCGGGACACATGCCTTGTCTTTTACTGCCTGGAAAACATGAGATCGGGTTCCCGGGGTGCTACTCCTGTGCCAACTCTTAGGGTGCAGAGGCAGGTTGTGCCTGACGTTGATAAACATCCATAACCAGCACCATGTAGACATCTCAGCCTGGTCTCACTCCCAAAGGTAAAATACCGGCGGTTTGTCAGTGGCCTTGGGCGTCACACACCGAAACGTTGAAGCACCCTTGTGCAGCAGTGTGAAACACCAGTTGGTGGCATTTTTTGACTGCTGTAGTATAAAAAGGGGGAAAGACTGCAAGTCAAACTATGACGGTGTTTTCTAAACCAAACCCTGTCTTTTGATGCCTGAACCAAAGGAAGTAAACCTAAAAATTAAGTTTTTAAAAAGAGATTTGTGCATTTAAGAGCTGAAACTGTTCATTTCCAGTGAAAACCTACGTTTATTTTGAAAACACACAAAGCTTAAATCGACACGCTGTCCCTGAGCGTCCAAGACTGATGGTGGAGGCTTACCAGAGCATCATGGTTTGACGTGTAGAGCCACTGACTGAGCGTCGGTATTTGACGGGTTGGAGGTGAGAATGTGTTGGAAATCCTGTTTGAGCTTGAGTCTGGAGCTGATCTTCTAGCAAACATTTTGTAAGTGTGTATTAGGCCTTAAATATTGACATGGGGCAGATGTAAAGCTCAGGGTAGCCTTGCACAAAAACTTCTCCTCCATATTTAACATAGACTGATATTTATGGAAGAAAGGAAAGATATTTGCAGGCTGTGATTGGTGGTTCCTCGTCACGACATGCAGTGTGCACATTGCTGCATTCAGTTTAACTTTGTTTATCTCTGCACAGCTGACTTGCCCTGAAAAATAGGCTTGGGAACACTGGTGTTCTTGCTGCGCCTTCTGCGCATATACGTTGACAATAATGGATTTAAGGCCACAAAAAACAAGGCATGTGTACGGGCCCTAACAGCTTCACTCCTTTGTCTACGTTTGAAATGTTGAGACACTTTAGAGTGCTAAAAACATGATGTTTTTTCCATCACTGTCGATAACCAGACCCAGTGTCTTTCCCTTGACCAAACACCACAGAGAGTCCCAGGTGAACGCATCCCAGTTCCTTAGTTTATATAATACAGCATTGAGATGCTCCATCAGGGAGCTGACACACAGTGTTAAAGCATTATAAAGGCCATATATAAATAGTTGTGATATAAATATGTGCACGCAGAGAAAGACACGGCCACTTTGGGTGAAGCTCGTTCGACAGTAAAGCAGGGTTAGCTCGTCTACGGAAGTTTGACGTCAAGTCAAAATACTATGGTGGCCATGTTGACAACTACGCATCCCTCCTCATTTTTAGAGGAACAACGCATCAACTTGCTCCAAGTGACCAATATAATAATATCTTAACTTAAAGCTGCCAACTCTCAAGTCATGACCCTGTTAAAAATAAAATATTTGTCACTTTGACCCTTAGGGAAAAAGAATGCACAATGTCTTATCTCCAGGGTCGTTTCAATCTCAAACCGCCCGCTGCGGAGGCGTCACTGACAGGTGAGGTTAGGAGTACTGAGCCAGGCCCAGATCTGGATCATCTCCTGTGGGGTCCTCGGGTGAACGAGCATTAAGCTCTTGTAGGCGCAGGGGTTCGACCTGTACTTCTCCTCTATGTTAAAGGTCCTGAAGCCTTTGTGCTTCTCGGGGGCCAGCCCTAACTTCCTAAGACACATCCCCGTGTAGACGTCATCGATGGGGTAGAGCGCTATATGCTGGGACGCATTGTGCAGACGAGCAGCAATGTCCCCAGAGTAAAGGTATCCACCTCCTCCTGCATATGCAGGGTACGTCCCAACATACATGCTCTCCGGGATGAAGTATTTGACCTTCTTGTCTCGGTGTGGCCCCGCGTTGGTGATCACGTCACCCACAAACAAATCCCTGGCTTTGGGCTCCGAGAGGCCCTTGAGGAAGTCCAGGATGCGGTAGGTGTTGACAAAGACGTCGTCATCGCCTTTGAAGATGAAGCGAGCACTGGAGCAACGGGTCTGGATCCACTCCAGGAACAGAACTTCTTTAACGGTCAAATTGAAGAACGAATCCCTGTAACCCCACTGGATGATGTCTTTATGGTGGGCGCTCTCATAGTGCAGCATCTCAGACAGATCCGGGTGGTGGTCACCTGCTGTGGCGTTGCCGAGAAGGAAGACAGTAACCACCGTCTGATTGGCCAAAACACCCGCCCGTCCCCAGGACTGGCGGATGGCCTGGCGGCGGTCAAAGTGCGGTGCCAGGGACTTGACAGCCAGGAGCAGGAACGGCGGCTTCTTACAGATGTCAGGCTGGTCCACCATGATCGGGTAGGAGCGGCAGTGCATGTAAACCAGGAAGTCCTTGAAGCGGCCCGGTAGGGAGTTGTAGTCTTTCACCTGAGTAGTAACCCTAAAGTTGGGCTGGCAGGGGTCAGAGTTCAAACTGGTGTCGTTAAGCCAATCAGGAATGTCTGTGGCGCTGTAGTTCGCCATCAGGACAGGATTGTTGTGAAGGTCCAGAATCTGCTGCTGGCGGTTCCAGTAAGCAGGGCTGGGAACCAGTTTGGTCCAGAAGGGTTTGGAGGGGATGCGGACTTTTTGACTGCTGCTTTTGTCTTGGCTGCTGTGTCGGGAGATGATGATGAAGATGAAGAGGTTGACCATCATCAATGTCACCACAAGCTTTAGCTTCCTCCGCGGCAGCGCCATGACAGTGTCCTGCACCCGTCACCACCTGAGCACATACAGAAAGAAAGAAAATGTTAAGGATGGAAAATACATTCTTCACAAGCTGCATTTAAATACCATATTTTAGTGGAACCATAACGTGGACTTGTATTTAGTCTCTCATGGACAACATGGACTCTTTACTGGACACAAAGTTTTATATTGTATTCAATGTCTGTGTGGATAGGGATAATTCCTGATGTCTCCAAACATAATGGACCAAAGTTTTCAGGCCTTTTTTCTCTCCATCCTGTAAAGGGAGCAGCTGCCTGTTTGTCTTAGTCATTGTTGCTATGGATTTTAGTCATGTTAAGGCCTTTGCACACTGAGTGATTTTTTAATTAGTCATCCAAAAAAATCCACACAGAAACCTTGCACACTGATTCCGATGCATTTTATTGTTCTATTCAGTGCAAAAATTCGCAGTACGTGACAAAATGAAAAGACACATTTCCTCCTTTGCCTCTCTCCACTGGAGTTACCCATCTGGCTGTCACCACTCTCCATCCCCATCCAGCTGAATATTACTATCTGACCTGTTGAATGCGAGCTATCTGAGTTATGAAATGATTCTGTGTGCCCCATTCCTCTGTCATTTTCTTTACCGAGTCTTAGTCAAGCATCTCTAAAGGCTTCTGACAGATGCGAAAAACACAGATGTGTTCCAATAATCTTTATGACAGACCAAAGTTTCAGACTCAGCATGCAAACGTGACTGATACAAAGTGAGGTCACATTCATTTTTAGATGTGTGACAATTTCAGATGAAAAAAAAAAAAAAAAAACGGACTCAGTGTACAGAGGCCTTTACCTGTGTTCTTGTCGTGTTTCCCTCCTTAAAGGGACAGTTCACTTCATTATCAAAAAAACTATTTTTCCTTTTACTTGTAGTGTTATTTATCAATGAAATATTGGCCATAGAGATGTGTGCCTTCTCTCCAGTATAATGGAACTAGATGGCACTCGGCTTGTGGTGCTCAAAGTGCCAAAAATATACATTTGAATATATACGTTTTTCCAGAGAAGGCAGACATCTCTACGGCCGACATCTCCAACACTCTGCAGCTCACACAAAAACAATCTAGACTGATAAACAGCACTGATTTTGGGGTGACCTCTCCCTTTAAAGACCCCCAAAACAACTGGACACTGTGCATCATAATACTGTGGTGCTTATGTCTATCAAAAACATCAATAAAACACTACAAACTATACAATTTAACAACATGAGACAAGAACCAAACACGGTTTAAGGGTTCAGCGAAAGAGCAGGTTTACAGCTTAACAGTCCAACTTTAGGGAAAGCAGCTGCTGACCAGTAGCTCAATGTGTCCTTTAGAAAAATGCTGCTCAGAGATTCATGCTAAGTAGAGCTTAGGAGAGACACAACACTTTCTGTAGAGCCACCCTACAGTTAAGCAACTGGTCGCTCTGGAAATTTACATTTCAGAAAGTGAGAATGAATAACCATCTTTGTTAGACAATGATTACAGTGTGGCTTCTGCATGTGCACCTGACTGCAGCGTTAACAAATGGTCACTGTGATCTCTCAGATATTTTTAACCAAACGGGTTTACAAACAAGCACAACTGCAAATGACTCCTTGGGACTTTCAGCGACTCTGCCAGTAAGCGCGACGGACTAAAATCAAATGAACTGCTGTTGACAACATGCTTGTAATAGATCTTTAATGCAACTCAACCTCTTAAAAGCGTGGTCAGTCCTGACAGGAATCACTGATGGAAAAATTAATTGATTTTTCACGGTGATGATCATATGCCTTCCATTTCAAGGAAAACAACATAGTCATCACTGTTGTTATGGTCAGTGAGGGGCGGCACAATTGAAGCATGCAGTTTTAACATGGCTGTCTATGTTAAGAAGGAACGGATGAGAAGATATTTCAACCACAAGACCACTGCGACACAAAGTCACATGAAGATGCACAAACATTTCATCTAAAAGATCAGAATCACATTTGCACTCCTGCTAACAAGAGCTAGTGTCTGTCTCTATCACAGCACTGCAATCCCACTAAATTAGATTGTTTTCACCCGCCGTGTGACATCTGGACAGAAAATCATTCTGCAAACTCTGCAAATCAACAGCTAACAGCTGTCAGGTTATCCAGTAGGGTGTGTTCATGCTCATGCGTGTGTGCACTGACAGGACAGGTAGTTATCACAATCATAATGCACTAACTGTGAGTTCTGGCTTCAGTCCAAACTAAATACAATAAACCAATTATGCACCATTAGAAAAGGTTCACCTGAGGTTATATAACAGAATGTGCTGGTTTGTCTTCTGCTGTCCGACTGCAGCACACTGCTTCATGTCTTTTGTTTGCTGTGACATGCTGTCTACCTAATGCAATGCAACGGCAGAGGAAAGTTTCTTCAAAGCTAAATATTTCAAAGTGTATCATCACCTTGATTTTGCCCCTTTTTGGCCGGCGTCAACTGAATTAAGAAATGAGGACAGCGTGCGTGTGCTGGGTTTGAACATACAATACAGCCTTTCAGGAGGTTTGCCTCAGGCTTCTGCTTTGGCATGCTCACACATCCTTGATAACATCCTCTTTGCTGTGTCTCGCTTCTTTTCTCTTCTTACTGAAAATGTCTGCATTCTGCCCTCTTCCTGTGTCTTCCTCCTTTTCGCAAGCGAGGCAGCTTTTACATCTGCTTGAGCCACAGCAGAGTTTTCATTAAGTTATTTATAAACTCTATGAAATTCTTGTGGTACTGAGAAAACACACAGTGACCAATATTATCCATGACAATTAAATTTACTTGTATTTATTGACTTCTTCTTCTTTATTTAGATAGCTGGGAATAAAGTGGTGACGGGAAACGAGGGAGCAAAGAGAAGGGATGACATTCAACAAAGATTCCCAGCCAAACTGGCGACTACATGATCGGTGCCCCCCAGGGCTACCAGAACGCTCCTCTCAATCTCTCCAATTTTGTTTCAAAGCCATAAACTTAAAGCGACAGGTATCCTGTACTGAAAACAATAAAACAAAACTCACGACTGGACGATGATAAAACATAATAAATGGCAGTAAGCGTGCAGCTTTTGAGCCGCCAGGCCCCGAGGGTGAGCTCTGAAAGTCAAATGTCTCAGCATCTGGGACATATTACGGACGTTTGGGACCTTTGTTTTTAAAACTTCTTGACCCTTCCAGTTAAATGCCTGTCACAAAAAGAAAAATCCATGGTAGCAGCTCTGCAAAGAAACAATGTATTTACAGTTCTCTGTGAAGGGGTAATGAATGTGTTAGCCAATTGCCTGATTGCCCAAGCAAGTAAAATGCCACATCAGGCTGGTAAATCTAGCAACTCACTTCCCATAGAAATACTTACACACTTTGTTTTTTCATCAGCTAATGACAGAAGTAGCTAAGAAGTGAGCTGTTTTACTTCCATCTCATCTCAGTTGAGAGTTGCACATGTTTGGTACTGATTGGAACAAGAAAATGGCAACAGACAAAAGATAAAGTTAATGAGCTGAAGCTCAAGGGAGATTCTAATTATCCTGGACAGGTTGTGAGCAAAGTGGATACACTGGGTCAGTTTTCAAAGGTTCGTCAAGTTCCCAAAAACGTTGCTAAGATGCCATAACAAGAGCCAAAGGCATCTCGATTGCATGGCAGCCATGAGGGGCGCCGACAACTCCTCTTTCGGGGCTTTGCTGGTGCTTATATGAAACATGAACACTGAGGCAGGTCAGGTTCTGATTCATCTACTCAAAGATTAAACATGATGGGCACCCAGTGACTTAGTGGGTAGAGCAGGTGTCCCATATTCGAAGGCAATGTCCTTGCTATATACTGCATGTCATTCCCCTCTCTCCCCCCTTCACACTTACTGTCCTGTCTAATAAAGGCAAAAAAATAATCTTTAAAAAAAAGATTAAACATGACAATTAACCCTAGTCTTTGTTATTACAATTAATAAATAAAACAATCTGTATAGGGGCAAGTTGATTTCTGACACATTTGCTCATCCAGGAAAGAGGAAAAGAGCATTAGCATGACACACTGAATCCTCTCGAGACCTTGGATGTGTATAAAATATTTCATAGCAATCCAACACATACCTGAAATATTTCAGTCTGGTGTAGGGCTGCAACTGATGATTGGTTTCACCTGTTGATTATCTACTTGATTTAATGTTTAGAATATAAAAATGACAACAAATTAAAACCAAAAAGTTATTTTATCATCATATCTGATAAAAACAAGCCGCAAATCTTGATATTTGAGAAGCTGGAACAAGCAAGTACTTTTCATTCTGGCTTGAAAAATGACTTAAATTATAAATCCATTATCAGAATAGTTGGTAATTCATTATCTTTCCATCAACCAATTGATTAATCAGTGGACCAGCTGATTCACTGACTGTCCAACACTGAAAATCCTGCACTTCAATAAGTATCATGATGCAAAGACAGAGGAGTGGAATATGGCATGACAGAGCTAAATATGACAGCTATATGATACTTGTTAGAAATATGAATTTCACTAATTTAAAACAGTTGAAATTTATAACTGACTCATGTTCCAGAGGGTTTATCTTCCTCTGTACCACAGCTTGTATCCTTCCTGCCTCTGTATCGTGTTGCTCCCTCGGCCTCCTAGCAACAACTCGGCACTGCTGCGCCCCTGTTTGCTCTCTCCTACGCCCTATCCCTGTTTACCCCCCTTTTCTTTCCTCACCTCCTCTACCTGCCTCCTCCTGCCCTCCTCCTTTCTCTCGAATTTCTCTCATATGTGCATGAAAACAGAGAGAAATGCCGGTCACATCCCACAGGATAATGATACATAATCCTGAAGGTATATAAGTGTTATATTACAAACAAAGACAAGCACAGGCATAGTCTTCTCTCTTAGGACCCCCCTCCTTTCCCTCTCTTTTTCTCATGGATGATTATGCTTTCCTGTCTTCTGCATCCCCATACAAACAAGGAGACTTCTGGGAAATGAGTGGGAGGGGGAAGGGGGGGTTCTAAAGAAGGAACAACATGTTGACAAGACCACAGCTTCCGGACATCTAATTAAGCGTCGGCAGCATAGGACTAAACATACACCTACCTGCACCAGGCTGATGGGACATCTGTAGCTGGTTAGAAGCCATTTGTTTCAGCCTTAATGCTGTTACAAGGGTGTTTTAGCTGATGCTCCCATCAGTGGTCTCATGTATGGTTGCAGTACGTTTACGGTAATACTGTAAAAACTGTCCCTTGAAAACACTGTTCACTATTTCTGTCACATGCCAGTGCTGGAGCAGATTTATGACTGAATGAGCTCTCATCACATTAAAAATGTTTTCCCTCCAACACTCAAATGCCAACTCGTTTCCGTTTTGGTGCTGCTGTGGTTCACACCTGTGGTTGTCTAAGTGCAAATTCTGCAAAAACCAAAATGCTGCATGAAGATGTTCTTGATAGGAACAGATTCAGATGCAGAGCACACACACAGTTTGCCAAGAAAAGACATAAAGCAGCTGAACAAAGCACAGCATGTTTGTACTTAATAGAGCTCCACAGCACTCGTAAATGACATAATGGAGGAGTCGTGCGTCTGCTCTGGGGAACATCTTTAGCTGTGGATCACTGACGTTTTAACTGTATGAAAATGTGTGGTGATAATGATGATGTGTGAGAAAGGAGGTCAGATTTAGGAAAATGATGTACCACTGACATAAAGCAGAGCAACCATTAGCTGACTCAACTGTTGAGTGAGTTTACTGTCAGTGCTGTGGTTGCTATTTGTAGTCTAAAGCCCTGTTCCCATGACACTAGTCTTACATGGGGACCTCCAGCCTTGTGTAATAATTGCGGAGGATGGCCAGAATCTTAATCCCATGCAAACGTGCCATGTCCATAATTTGTCAAGTTAGAATTCCAACCCAAATGACCCACCGTATTTCACCAAACACAGATGTAGTGTTGTAATATTAGTCCCACACTGTTTTCTCCCTGCTTCATTCCCGCCTCTGTCCCAGTTGAGAATTACAGAGGCTGTGTTGACGATTACAAATTGAAGTTTTAGGTGCAGGAGGCTCATCTCGCTACACAGTACGAGACATGTTCACAGAAAGAAAAAAGATAAAATCAATGAGAAAAGTGAAAACTAAAACGATGGTAAGAAAGATGACGTGACAATGTGTGACAGATTTGGTTCTGTTTGTTAAACCCACATTTTAAAGTAAAAAGGGAAGTGTTCATTGCTCAGGAGGTTTTTACCAAGAGCCGAATTTTCCGCAGAGGTGTCCTCCTCTTCAAAAGAACAATAACAGAAAAGGTAAAACAATGAATAAAGCAATTTAAAAAGGTAAGAATCAGAGTCTCTCAGTCACTCTTTGGTTGACACAGGATGTCTGGAGGAATCGGGGGGAGCTGCCACGCAATTTAAATCAGCTTGTTTCTTAAAGAAGCATCTCACTGCTAGAAAGATGGTCTTTTCATAAAACTGGGCTGTCTAAGCAGTAGACTACATGACCAGAGAAAACAGAAAAAGGGCTGTTTGCTCAAGAGGTGATGTAAAGCCTGTTGCTCATCCAAAAATAAACAAAATTGTGGTGGCTGGTAACAAATAACCTCAAACTGCAGTTAACCAGTAAGCTAAAAAATTTTTATGAAAACATTTGAGGTGAGAGACAGGCAACACAGTGACACAATCTTGGTTAATATTTGATCAGTGCTGCTTATTTTTACTGTTTGAGAGATAGTGAAGGGCTGTCTTGATCTGCTTCTATACTCTTTGTGTCTATGGTGGCGGCAGGCGTACAAGAACAAGAGCCTTTAAGATCTAGATGTCCGATGACTGATATTTTTCCTCTGGTTAAAAGATATATTTCACAAAACTAAAATATAGAGGCTCATGCACACCTTTGATCACTTGCAGACAGGTGCGTAGGACGACTGAAATGTTGTTTGTCCATTAAAGTTTATTGCAAGTAACACAACAGTGTGAGAATTCCCTTTTTTGCCTAAAAGACATATTTAAAAAGACCAAAATCTAAAAAATGGCGACAACATGACTAAAGTAATCGTGTCCAGTAATCCAACTGAAAGCCAGTGCTTATGGAAAACTCTGTGTAAATAATTACATCAAGATAGAACATCCTGTATCAAAGGTGAATTAGTTTAAGTAAAATTTAATTCAATTATAAATGTAGTGGCCTCTTCATGCAGGGTCGTGAGATACTTAAATGCAGGATATCTCCGCCTATGAAATGTTCAACAGGAGTCAATTTGAGGAAAAGCTTCATGGTGAAGATGGTTTGAAATTTTAAATTTTAAGTTGGGGATTTTATAAACAGGTTAATGTGCCACTAAATGTTTATCTATTGGGTAAAGTCAGTCTATTTGTTTAGCATGTGGTTACCTTGTAATCCAGGACTCTGCAGCACCAGTTGATAGTTGACTAAAAGGCATTAGCATTCAGGTTTCTGTGGTAATTTAAAGTTAATCTTTTCAGTGTTTTGGTTCTCCGTTTGCGCCGGGAGTCAGCACTAAAACTTTTGCAGTGTATTATACCCCGTAAAAATATCAGCATATACTCAGAGAGCAGAAAACAACCAATTTCAACTGTGATTGCCTTGCTACCACAAGACTGGTTTTAAATGAATGTGGGCAGGATATTTTGAGGTAAACATGTTGTATAATACCGAAAAATCAAACATTTTTTACAATGCATGGATGCACAGGTCAGATCCTGGCAACGACAGCGAGCCAGATGGACTTCTATGTGGACTCATTGATCAGCACAGACAGCAGGACTGTGGCACTCTGATTATATCTGGCAGTAATTTACTGGACAATGCCAGGTTGTGTTTGACCATCATGGTTTCCACCTGATAAAAGGTTCAGTGAGGTGAGGAGTCTCACCTGTGTGGGGGATGGGTGTGAGACAGCAGAAGACAATGGCTGTGTAAGGTTAAAAGGGCTTTGTGTGTGTGTGTGTGTGTGTGTGTGTGTGTGTGTGTGTGTGTGTGTGTGTGAGAGAGAGAGAGTTAAAGCAGATCTAAATGAGTTTCAGGGTTCTGTTTCCACAAACATATACCTCATTAAGGAGTCAGTCGTTAGTTTGTACCATGGATTTATGATTAGATCTGGATACCAGACCCTCAGATGGTGCCTTCAGTTGAATGAGAACTGCTCACCCGGCACATGTGCCAAAAAAGTTTCCAGCTTCCCGGTTTAACTCTTTGGTATCAGCCCACTGAATCTGCACAGTAGTGTTTCTCCCACTGGCTCCACCCACTGAGCAGCGTATGCAATGCCCTAGTACGTCCATTAAGGATAGACCAATACATCGGCCGGCCGATACATCGGGCCGATATTTGAGTTTTTTACTTGTATCAGCATCGGCCGATACGCGCGTGGCTTCGCAGATTTATTTTTCCCTGGCACTTTTTTTCAGTTGAAAGTATGTGGTTAATTTGAACAAAGCTGTTGAATCCTACTGTGTACAGTAGTTGTTGTTTTATTTATGCTTCAGCTTAAATATTTGTTTATTTTTATAAAGACATTACTGGAAGATTTAAGAGCACTGAACTCTTTTTTTTTATTTGAATGTATAATAATAATAATAATAATAATAATATTCTACCTGTTCTACCTCAACTTTCCATCTTCTTTCAGTATTTTTTACTGTTCAATAAATGTTTCTTATTTTAAACTTGAGACCTGTAATATTTGTTATCATTGTGTCATTTTTTTTTTATGAAATTGAGGGAGCAAAAGCAGTATCGGCCCCAAATATCGGCTCAAGAAAATCGGCAGTCCATAATCGGTCATCGGCTAAGGGTGATGGAAAAAAATCGGTATCGGCATCGGCCCTAAAAAATCCATATCGGTCTATCCTTAATGTCCATGGTTAGTACAAGATGTCTTGAACACACTGTTCTGAATTTGATCACACAAATTGAATCTTGTCAAGACTTACTGATAAGTAGTAGCACTTTTAAGTGCACATTACAAATATCAAAAAAATATGCAGACTTGAAGGTGTTTTTAAAGGAACGGTGTGTTAGATCTAGGGGATTCAGTGGCTTCTAGCCATGAGGATAGCAGACTGCAACCAGCTGAAACTTCTCCTGGTTAGAGTTCCCTCAGTGTTCATCATTCAGGAGGTTTTAATAGGAGCTGAATTATCCGCAGAGGTCTCTTCCTCTCTAAAACAAACAGACCTGGTGATTTCAACGGATAAAAACACAGAATAAAGCAGTTTTACATTATCTTGGAGGGGCTGCTAAGTACAGTGGCTGGCGCCAAAACATGAATGGCCCTACTTGGAGCCACTGCTTGGTTTGCACAATCTGTGATATGGTAGAAACGTCGCAGTGCAACGTGGCGATCTCTGTATAGAAGTACCTGCTCCCTAGATATACACAGCTCCTTCTAAGGTAATCAAAACACAACGATCCTTATTTTCACATAGTTACAAACCAAAGAAAACAGACTTAGTCTATCATATTCCATTTCTGCTGTTATATCCCCTTAAATCCTGCACACCGGACCTTTAACTCCCTCTAATAAGTCACATAACCATATGCTGCATGTGTTTCTGAAGGTGTGTGTGCACGTCTCACCTGTGCAGGTTAGAGGGCCTCCTCAGCTTGTGTCGTCTTGGTGTCGTCTCTCGGCTCTCTTACCCCATACTTAGCCCCGCCCTCTGGGGAACAGCAGCCAATGAGGCAAACAGGATCAGGCAGGGAGGAACGCGAGAGGGAGGGAAGCTTTAAAAGGTCCAACCTGAAAACAGATAAAACGACCTGTGTGTCAACAAGCTGACAGGAGTGTGGCTCGAGGAACGTGGCAAGATAAATATCCACAATAAGAAGAACTCAAAAAACCAGTCTGTTATCAAAACATTTTATAATGCAAATATGTAGAGAGGCGTGAGAGAAAATGGGCCCTGAACATCAGAGATCAAGTGAGCTGATCAAAAATAACGATATCTACTTGTCTAGATCACGATTTCATTATCATCAATCACCGTTACCCGCTACAATCAAGCAGTGAGGCTCAACCCTGATCTCAGCGCGCTACCACAGTTAAGCTGCAAGAAGTAGCTGTGCGGCGCTGCACATGTAAAGTCCATACACAGTAGAGCTGCAATGATTGGTCAGTTGACAGGAAATTAATCTGAAATTACTTTGACAAGTGAACTGAATTTTCATTTTTCAAGCAAAAATCTAAAACCTTTCTCGGTTTCAGCTTCTCAAATGTGTCTCAATGTGAGGACTTAATGCTTTCTTTTGTCATACATGACAGTAAACTGAATATCTTTGGGATTCTGGACAGTTAGTCAGACAAGAGAGACATCTGAAGACGTCCCCTCGGACTGTGAAGATTTAAAATGGGCGTTTTTCACTCCAACAGGTTTCTCCACTCCTCCATCCCAACTATAGAAACCGGATTTCTCATTTACATGATATCAAAGGAATTCGATTACAGCAGAAACTCGAATGGAGCATGTAAATATCCTGACTGGCAGCTAAGCACGAACAGACACAGGTGGAATAAAGACAATATGACCTCATGGTCTGCACAAGAGCAACATTCAGGAGAGGAAACAGACTCTGACCCTACGCTGCAGACATTCACACCATGAGGGGCTACTGCTTTTATTTAAAGACCCAGAAAGAGTCTCAGATGTTCTTCCCACCACAGACACCAGAGGCGGCATTAATAGTTGTTTTGCAGGGATTTTCATTAGTTTAAAGACATTTGTGTTGCTTTAACCCCTCAGACTTAGGGCTCCTGATGTCTGAGCTTCTCATAGGCTGCATTCACACCAAATCAGGCGTTGCGGCAAAATGCCAGGCTGAGAGGCTACAGGGGATGAAACAACAAAAAACACAAACAGCAACCTGTGGCAAAATGTTGAAACAGAATCGACTTCTGTTCGTTACGCTGCAGTGGCCAAAAATGTAACCGGCGATCAGACCAGAAGACGCCTGCAGTCCACAGGAACATGTAACAAAGTTTCTCTCAATTGTTAAATATTATACTGATTAAAATGAAAACCAAAGTATAAAGAGCTTGTGTGCACTAACTCACAAAGGAGAGCACTTGCTTTGTTTTTGTGTGCACGCTCAAGGGCTGGGTACGGGTTAAAACATTACAATACCAGTACTGATACCAACAGAGTACTTCATCCAATACCCATCATGTGAATGGAAGTATTCAGTTGCCACAGGCGTGTGGTATACCCATACTAGGCACACTGAACTGCCACCTCCATCAAATACACAGTGCTTGACTTTACCACATCACAGCTCACAGTGTATAACAGTCATTTTAATCTAGATCTGGGTACAAAAAAAAAAAAAAAAAAAAGGATCAAATACACTTATCGTTTGACTGGAGAAGGTCCAATACTCCTTGGTAATGGCCCTTGCACGAACGATAATTATGTTATCGACATATCGAGGCCAGCAAAAATCATCTAAGTAACGTCCATATATTGCACAACTGCCTTTGTGTTTATAAGTGTTTGCTTACATGAGAATGTTCCCAACATTTTAGCCAACATGATGCCAGAATCGTGCTGCTTCTGTCCTCTTGTGCGCTCCCTGTCGGAGTTTCACTGTGAGCAAGGCTCGTCTCTTTCACACAGACACAAACATTTATTTATACATTACTGACCTTTTAGTTCTTGCTCTTTTAAAGGGTGTATTTGCAGTATTTTCCTATCATAACATTACATCAGTGGCATAAAATGGTCTTAAATTGACAATGATACATATGTACACCGGAAGTAGGCTTCGTGACAGGTCTGCGTGCATGTGTGTCATCTGTGGCAGCAAAGATACTACCGTTATGATAATGAAAAGGAATGCTACAGATCTTTTAAGCCAACATAAACAAACTAACTGAAGACAAATACTGCTGAGATGGGGAGATTGGCTTTCTATAGTCGGTCTCCACCCTCCACTCTTCCACATATGGGCCATTTAAGTGACACTCCCACACTGCTGCACAAACCCCGCGGCTAATTGCAGGAACACATGATTCAGTGTGAATGCAGCCTTACTCAGGTAGGCATGTTGCTGCATGCACGTCTGCTGCGCTCCACATCTATCATGGAACTGACGGGCATCAATATTCAACCAGACCGGCATCATGACAGTTCTGTGCTGTTTACTCTGATACTTCTCTAGAACAACACCCCGATTATTTGGAAGTGTGCTTTAGCTGATAGCGCAAACATTACTGTTGGAAAACAAGGCAACTGTAAAGTCATGAAGGTCCTGTTTAGATGTTGCATAAACTGATTTTTTTGCCACGCTACTGACAGCTGTGAAGGAACTGCAAAACAAAAATGACTAATAGCACCAACAAGAAGTTAATAAAACAAGCAGGATCTAAAATAATCACCAGATAAATCAGCGAGTGACTAAACAACAACTATAATTTAGCTTTCGCCAAAGAGGCTGATGTGGAAAGCTCCCTTCACACACAGCACTGGGTTCTGTTAATCATTAAACCACTGGTTCTCCAGGTTAGATATGAGGGGTCAGCAGATAATGAGCTCATATCACCTTTCACTAGGCTGCGCTAACGTACACACCATCTGAAATGTTCACTTAAAGATTATCCAAAAATGTTAAAGGAAATGTGAGAAGGAGAGTTAATCAACAATGGAATGTCCCTTTAGTTTCTGAATGCACTCAATGACTCTTATCTAAATACTGTGTGTGCGCTGGAGTTCACTCTCTGTTTGTGCTTCGTCCTCAACAAAAGAAAAGCACTTCTCAGACTTAAGTGTGTGTTTGACTTGTTCAGAAACTTTACACCTTTAATTCCTGGCTTCTACTTCTCAGTTTTAGATGACAAGTCAATGTCACGGGGGTCATTCTGACATAGTGGCTGTAGCATTAACCCTCTGTTAACAGCTGTGGATCACTTCTTTCACAACATAGTTGAAATAAAAAAAATGTGAGAAAATGCAGAACAGAGAAGCCAAACTAAGACGGAGATAATTTTGAAACGCACTGCCACCAGTTTGTCCACTGAAGGACACTGACAGGTTTATTTTTCAATGGTAATATGTCCCACTAAGCATGTAAGATGGTCACAGCTCCTTAAAAAAGGAACAAATCACGATATTTGGCATCCTACTAAAGGACAGTCTCTTGAGGGAATACTTCAACTGCAAAATGACCATTTGTACAACAACAGCTCACTGCGTGTTACCTTGAATTCGGGAAGTAAACGCATGCCTCAAACTCTCACAGTGAAATCCAAGTCTCATTTGTCCAGTCGTATGCTCAATTTTTCCCCAAACACGTGTATTTTTGTTCAGACCTTAATGATTTAAAACACTTCCATATAAACAGTCTTACGCACAGCTGAGCGGTGTCCCTGTGCAGGCGTGCGTGTTTGCCCTTTGCTCAAGTGGAGCTCATACGCATGCGCCTGCTCAGGCACGCTCAAGGCAAACACTTTGCATAACTGTTTTAAATCTTAATGTTTTAGCAAAAATACATGTGTTTGGGAAGTGCTGAGCATACGACCGGAGAAATGAGACTTGGATTATACTGCAAGAGTTGTGGAGAGGTTGTAAACAGATGTTTTGATATAGTTTTGCTCTTGTTAAATGTGATACCTGTTTGATTCACGAAGAATGTTCACCTTTTTTGGGATTCTCTGTTCACTGTGGAGGCATGCAACAAAATTTTTCTTCACAAATTTTAATGTAACACACAGTAGTAGAATAAGTGGTATACAAATAGACATTCTGCAGGTGAATTAGTCTTTTAAAAATGAGCTAATTACGAGACTGCAGCTTTTATAATGTCATTAGCATGCAGGCTAGTTCTCCTAAAGTGGAAAAACCCTGAACCTCCCAGTCACATGTTGAAGTTTAAGACACGTCACACAGCATGTCAAACTAGAGAAACTCTGAGGTCTGAGGTAGGAAAACTGAGGTTTATGTGTTCCTCCTATACTTAAATCTACTTAGATGTAGCTTTCAGACCTGCAGCCAATCAGCTAATCTTTTTATATTGACTTCCTACACAACATTTTTAATCCTTTGTACATTATTGATTCATTTTTTCCCTTTTTGCTCATTTGTGATATTGCTTGTGTTTGCTATTATCTGAATTTAACATATTTGTACAACTGAAAACAAATAAACAATCTTAAATAAATAAAGAACACATTAAGAAAAAAACACAGCCAATACATCACAAAAAGAAATCCAGCATCTGTTAGGATATAATTCAGGCACTCCCTCATAATGACTAGGCTTTCTCTTCTAGTCTTTCTCCATCATGTCCTTCAGTACCTGCCACAAAGAATTAAAAATAAATTGGTAAAAAGAAAGAAATGCCACAGGTGTGTGAGCTTTGTTGACATTTCACATGATCTCTGGATCCTCTCACTGCCACAGGGCCTCTATAACCGCTGTGGATAAATGTATCAGATAAACACAGCAAGTCTAAGCTGGAAATAGGTCTAATATTCAGGTTGACTGCCATTTCTGTTCCCAGCTGAAATCACAACTACTAAAGCAGCACTGATTAACACAACCTTGTTTTCTGATAGTTGAAGATTTAGAGAAGTGGCTCAGTCACTCCCCAATGCCGTGTGTGAAAAGGGATGCACAGCAAGTGTGAAACAGGTCACCAGGGCAGAGCATGTGAAGCCGATATAGGCTCACGTTGCTGAATGTTCTGTGTGTGTGTGTGTGTGTGGGTGTGTGTGTGTGTGTGTGTGTGTGAGACAGCAGATAAAGAGGC